GCCTGCTCACTAACCTAGCTGTTTCTGCAGTGATCAACTTTGTACTCAACATGGGCAATGAAATTTTGGTAAGAAAAACTAAATATACATCCCCTATGTGTGTCTGTATATGTCAATGTATATGTATGTATATGTAATATATGTACACTCCTCCAAGTAAACAATTCTTGCCTCAGCTCTAAGGGTAATGGCAATTATATATACTCTCAGATTCGCTGGAGAAAATACTGAAATGTCTTTCCTTTTTTAAATTTTAGGTTGCCAACTGACATTATGCTATTACTGTTCTGTGAACTCATGTAACATAGCCATGGCAAAGCCAAGGAACAAAGATTGCATGGGGACTGTTACTTGACTTTAACAAGTATTTCATCTTCTTCCTTAGAGCACAATTTCTAAGTCATAGACTTTTCTGCAGGGGCAAGTCAGATATCAGAGTCCTGGCTCCAGAGGCCTGTTGTGACTTATTTCTCCAGAGACAGAACCTGTATCCTTCTCTCAATCCTTTGTCACACATGGAATAAATTTTGTCTTTTCTGCCTTCTTCCTTCATAACTTGGCAGGAAGAAAAATAAGAAATAGTGTCTTGTGAGTGAGAGATTTTTATCAATTCACACTCGTGCGTTTTTACATGCCATTCCCCTTAATGACAAAAAACCAACCAGCCCCCCAGCGAAAAGAGCAGAACTAAAAGAGTGGGAAGGATAAAGTTCTTTACCTGACGAGTATAACCTCTAAACAAAGAAATGGCAGCATCACACACTTTAAATGCATCTTAGTTTGTGTCCTATAAAACCTAGCTTTTGACAAATATGTATATATTGATTAAGTATCTTTTACCCTCCTTTTCCCCTGTATTCTCCTCCAAAACCTTTCAGTTGCAGTTGTTAAAGCTAATGCAGAATTTTGCCGCAGACCTTTTGCCCCAGGTAAGCTGACAAAAATGCAACATCTGATACTCTGATGTGGAATGGAGAAATAAACATTAATCTAACCAAGTGATTTCAGTAGTTTATTTTGGTTTAATTTTTAAGTGTTGCATTTCTACTGACCCACATTCTGTGTATTTCTTGTATTCAGTGATTTTTGAAGTTGCTTAGATTTTCACTTGCATTAGATATTTTGTGTCCAAAGGTCAAATGAGCATTGCTTTTGAGTCAGATGCCTACTGGCTGCATTTCTAATACTTAATCTTTTCACACTGAGAAAAATAAAAAATGGGAGGCAGTTCAAGCTATCCCAAATAAACAACAGAAGTAAAGCAACAATTACTTTTCCTGTGTGGACTGCTCTTGCTCATTTCTCCTCAAGAGATAACACTCACTGACATAATGTCAGATAACCATGTTCAGTGTTTCACAGACTTGCCATTTAAAGATTCATTTCCACTCCACTTATTTTCTTTTTATCAGCTTCTCTTTTGGTGCATTTCATCTGTGAAGATTTTCATGTAGACTCCCAGGACAGGTATTTGGGAGAGAGGGAAGCAAAAGGGTTCAACTTGACTTAAAACACCTCTAGAAATTATAAAGCGAGTGAGATAGGACAGAAAAATGAGAAGTTCTCATGAGAATAGTTGTTTGCATAAAATTCTCAACTCTTACTAAAGCTTCAGTGCAGTTCCTGGGGAAGATGGATATATAAAGCCTCAGGTTAACTTCAGTCATTACCAAGCATTTTACATCTGCTGAAGAATTCCAAACATATTAAAACCTGTCAATCCAAATCTTTAGACTAAAATAAATAAACAAAAACCAACCAACCAACCAAATAAATAAATAACTAAATAAGGAGCAACTTCAAAAGCTGTCAGTAGGCAAGTTATAGATCTGATTCAGCTTTTAACCCCTAGAGGTATAAGCACACTTTATCTGCAAAAGATATGCAATGTCTGTACTCTGCAATATTACATTTTAATAATCTGCGGCACAAGGCGATAATAAAAAAGAAGAATATGATATAATTGTGTAAGTAATTTGATGAGAAGCTGTGGGGAACACAGTCTTTCTATGCAATTATAGAAAATACTAATAGCAAATCCTTGAGGACTTTGTTGACAATTAAGTTTCCTATTTTTAGCCACGTGTTTTCTCAAAAGCTCTACAACTTACTTTTTAGGATTCCCATTTTTTCCCCCCTTTCTAGAATACTTCTAAAGTGTTGTTTAGCCTTGTAAACTAGGCATTCAAGAAGCTGGATGGAACTTAATCTCTAAAGCATTCTTTTCAGGTGGTAAAAGCTGCAGAAAGGAGCCTGATGGGAACAAGAGCCCAGCATTATGTACAGCTCCGAGGTTTGCTGTGTCCCATGGACCTGCTGCAAGGCACACCACAGCAGAGTATCTGGAAACCTTCCTAGAAAAGAGCTTTGGCTGAGTTGCTGTAGCAATGGCAGGTTTGCAGAGGCAGAGGAAGAAACCAAACCAATGGGAAAAAGGAACTGGCTGCAGAAAGTCGCTGACAGTCTCCTCTAGAAAACTGCATAGCATTAATTAGCCTGAAATGAAACACAGGGTCTCGCTCCTTGGAGAGTTTACTGAAAATACATTCAGAGGCCTCAATAATATTTCATCTCAACCTGGTTTCATCTTGTTTATTTCAGTGTAACAAAGAATTAAACTAAGTTGTGTCAAGTAAACCTGGTGAACTTAAAGGAAACTTGAGTACATAATTTGGATGTAACTGTATGAAATGCTGCTGATGACTCACTAAGGACCACTTTTGTCCCTGTGAGACATTGATCATTGGGTAAAAGATGGAAAAGAATCAGGAAATAGCTGTCTGCTCCAACAGTATTTTAATCCACTTACAAAAAATCTTCCTTGGAAAGGCCTTTTTCATATCTCCAGTGGTGACTCATCTAATCTCATCTCTGTATATTGCTAAACTCCACAGGGATCACCTTTACTTTCCAACTTTACCCTGGCCAGAGATTCAGTCAGACAAAAGATCCTTAATGCCTTTCCTTAAGTTCAGCTCACTTCTCTAAAATGAATTTTCCCTCTCTTTCACAAAATGAAAGAAGTGGTTTTTTACAAATGCTTTCTTTTTTCCCTTTTTTTTTTTGTTTTCTACTTTTTTTCTTCTGAGGAGGCAGGATGCCAGTATCAAATGCCTCTTTTCTATAAATCAAAATTTCTTTGTGTCGAGCAAGTTGAATTTCTGGGAAGAATATATTTCTTTTTTCCTGTATAGAAAGGATTCTTAAATTTTACTTTTAAAACTCATGTATCAAAAATATATGTTTGTTCCTCCACATTATATATATGCTTGTTCTCTCTAACATTAATTTATTCAAAAAACTCTGCACTTGAAAGAGTTAAAAAAAATTCTAATTACAGGATAAGAAAGAAAGGTCAGACTCCACTTACATCATTGTGAAGGGCTTTTATTACACACTGCTATAAAACATATTTCTTTTTTTCAGTTGCCATCCTCACAGGGTAACCTGCATACCAATAGGATCTCCAAAATGCCATGAAGCAAAAGATATTTATCTGCTAAATTCTATGTATAGTAACCTCACAAATGCCAGAGAAAAAAGATTACCCTCTGCACAGTAATACTTGTGTAGATGTCTTCTTTATGCTAACAATGACAAGGCTCTCTAGGTTTGCACTGTACTCCAAAATCAGAATACATTTTTTGTTCAAAAAGCAGACTGTATATCAAAGAGAGAATATGCACATTTTAGGCACTGAAATACTTAATATAGTGAGCAAATACTTTCCTGAAGCATTTTTAGTAAAAATATCTAATCCAGAAACATAAAATGAAAATGTATGACTCAAGCCTTCTTGAAGAAATTAGACAGGATATGTTTGGGAATATCTCTCTGTCCTGACTTGTTAACTGAATTTTCATTTTGAACTCTGTTTGAAGCCTCACAGAACTGTTATTTGATTAACTTGACTATGTTAGATAGCAAGTTATCCAAAAGCAGAGTGGCTCCAAATCTAATTGCTGTCATTTTTTAAATCCAGCTGTGCAAAACAACAAACAAGAACTTTACTCTGGGACAAGGACAAGTCAGAAAAATTCTAATTTTTGCAATATATTAGTCTTCAATTCCATTACCTGTGATTTAATGTATCTAAAGTTGTTTATGTAGTTATTTATATAACTATTTTCAGCCTTAAATTCTGACAATGTATTCAAAGAAATATGCATTAATAAATGCAAGAGTTTCTGTCTGCTTTCATAATACCAGCATGTGCTGTCAGATGTATTAGTTCAATATTTCAAGTGATGTATGCTTAAAATTAGAATGTAACTAATGATGTAGTGACTGACTTTTCATAAGGAGTTTTTTAGAAATCTCATTCAAATAGTTGTTTCAGAGTTGCACTTTGTTTGCAGAGTAAGCACTGCCTATCCAACCTTTCTAAACAATAAATATTAACACAGAATAGTGAGAGTTCCATTTCATCACTTCTACTGGTAATTCTACTAACTATGTTTATCTTGTGGTCTAAATTTATGACAGGCCCATTTGCAGTGAGGCCTGGAGTTTCCTTGTTTACAACACTGCAAAGTAAAAGGTGACCCTTTTATTTTTGTTTAAAACCTTTCAACAGTTTGTTCTGCTCCAGAGATAGCACCTTAATAAGGTTTCAGGCCAGAAAGCTCTCTTGTTTTCTTTTGTGGGGGTATAGTTCACTGCATTTACTTACACAGACATTAGAAAACATTTTTAAAACAGAATACAAACTTGGCTGCAGATTACATTTGTAGATTAGAAAGCTTCTGCACTGAGATCCTACCTGCCATTATGTAAAGGAAAAGAGAACCGGGGGGTAGAGGATACATAGCTGGCTAAATAAACAGTAAATGAGCTGTTTAAACAGTTGTATCTATACACACAAGTAATAAAAGCATCAGGCACCTGGTGCAAATCTATTAGGACCTAATTCTGACAACAATATACATCATTATAGTGGGATCTGATAAAGAGCAAACACTGGAGGCATTACATGTCTTTAGAAGAATCAGACTTCCTACCTTAGCAAGAGTGATAGAAGGTAAGTCCCCCTTTAAAGAAAGTTGTAAGTAAAGCCAGGCAGCAGTTGCAGTGAATTGAGTCCTTTCAGTCACTGTATACATGCAGTAGTTCTGCAATAAGGGAAAAATATAATGGGAGGAGCAGCTGTGAACGAGTGACCTCCTGAAGCTGAGTTCTCTTTGTGAATCGAGCACTGGGAGCCAGTGCCTCTGATTTGCATGGATTACCTCCACTTGAACAGATACATTTAAATTAACCGGCACAGGGGCACAGGGATAGAAAACAAAAAGGGAAAAAATAAAAAAAGGGGAGAGGGAAAAAAAAAAAAAAAAAGGAAGGAGTGAGCGGAGGAGCGCGGGGAGCGGAGCGCGGAGGGCGAGCGCGGCGCTCGGCTGGGCGCGCTGGCTCGGCAGCGCTGCGGCTCCGAAGAGCTACAGCTCCCTCTTCATGCCGCTGCCGAAAGACGAGGAGAGCCGTCCTTACGGCCGAGTTTAACACAGAGAACCCCCACCCCCGCCCCTGCTCCCCCCGGCTTGTGATGGTCCATTTGATCAGATTTCTATAAACACTCAATAACTCAGCCTGACGTGCACCCAGGGTTTTGGACTGCAAGCCTTAAATGATTATAAATCTGGTAAACCCTGCTAAACGATTTTAAACACAGAAGTATTTTGAACATAGTAACTTGTACAAGTGGAGATGGGTTATTTCCAAGTGTGCCATGGCAGATTTATTATTTGTGAGTGTACAGGTGCCTTTAAAATAGTTAAGGGGTGGCAGCATTCAGAGCATGCTGTGTGGGAAGTTCCCTAACAGGATGGTGGTGTGTGTTCTAGCCCGGTGGTTTCAATGTTATCTAAAAATCTAACAAGACAAAAGAGAGACAAAAAATTTGCATCAACCACTTCAGAATTTCTCCCTTATTACCATAAATACCACAAACATTACCTGTTGCACACTCCTGATTTGATTTAAATGCAGTACTTAAGCTGATTAGAGAAATATGAGAGTATGTTCAACCCTCTTGAACCTGCATCCAATCCAAGAGGATCCTGAAATAAACTTTGTTTCTTTTGTTCAGAATATTTAAAATGAGTTCTTTGTACACAATGGTGTAGAATTTTGCAAACCTCTACATGGATTCATTCTGCTCAGAAATTAGACAAAAAGTCACAAAAAGTAGTAGAATGACTGGTCATGTGCTCTTTCATGAACATCCTAAAACAGGAATGGATGCAATCACATTCTTTGAGAATTATTCGTTGGTGAGATTTGGTGGGACAAAATGGCCTGTATTAGCGCTCAAAAGACTCAAAATTTGCCTTGTAAGATACATGTCTTACTGTAAAATAGTGCTTGTTCAGAGATAAATAGAATGAAACTGTGTACAAAAACAATCATGACTAAAGTCTGTTTCTAGCTCATTTACAAATCAGGCTGAGTCCAGCATGAGTCTGTTGGGTTTCACATTTCTGGGGATGCCAACATTTATTTGTAACACAGAATCCAGAATGGTGCTTTTATCTGAACAGAATATAGGATAAATACTATACTTAATTCAGTGAGAAACTGCTTCTTTTAAAGTTAAATTTGCTACAGATACATGATCCCATAGACACTGGACAAAGTAATGGAGGATATATTTTGGTTTCCTAAGATGTGCTATATGACACAGTTATTGGTGTACCATTTAAAGTGCTTCCTCTGAGAAATGCTCTTGGTTCACTGGAGGTCTGGGAATTTGATTCTTTTGAGGGGAAGGATCCTTCAACTAGATTCTGTGTCTTTGAATACTTTCCCAGATAGTATTTAACCTGACTGAAATATCATTCTTCCTCATGCACTGTCCAGAACTTTTCAACTATGTCCTCTGAAAATATCTTATTTGTAAGATGGACCCCAAATTTTATTTCTTATTTTCTCAATTGTGACCACTCCACTTCCAGTGACCACTCACCAGGTAATAACAGATGAATTTGACTCCAGCAGGGCACTCAGAAATCTAGTCTCAATATCAAACCTGTGTATGATAGCTGTGTAAAGCGGCCTCCTGGTTGATAGATGGCTTTGAAAAAGATGGACTGTGAGCCAAATTTGCTCTTATTACTCTGTACCCTGCAATACACTCCTCAGTGCTGCAGTATCCAAGCTGATAATGGCATAGCTATTCAGTCCCACCAACCTGTATGTCACCAGCAACAGGGAATCCTAGAAAAAGAAAGAAATAATCCAGCAGTGAGAGGGATTTTTGCCTTAAGGGTACATGTGAGAGGGAATGCCTTTGTAAGAAGTGGAGACAGCCATGGAAGGAAAAAAACCAGGGACAATGTGCACTAGATTCAGAAACTGTAGGGTGTATCTTATTCTCTGGAAAGATATATATGCCTGCAGTGTCATCTGCTAAATTTCATCAAGAGAAGACCTTACTAGAGATGTGCTTGGAGGTAGTGTTGAATGAAGATGTGGATTTGAGGAAATGGTGTAAGAAAGAGCAAACTGAATGGGCAACTGGAGAATTATGGGCTTTTTTTAAGTGAGAGGTCATGTAAGAGATACCTCTGGGGAGACTGGTGAGTCAAGGAAGTCTGTAAAAATATAGCAAGTGGAGCAATCTGGGAAACAGAGGAAAGCAAAATAATATGCTTGTCGTCTGGGAGACTCAAAAACTACAACAGAAAAAAACCAAAACAGAAGGTAGAAATGAAGTGGAAAAATTAACTCCAGAAAAACCTGTAGATTCCAAAAAGGAGTGATAATGGTAAAGAAGTTAGTGAGAAAGGAAGAATGAAAGTAAGGATCATCTGTTAATAGAAGGCAAAATGGACTAGGAAAAAATAGTGGCTGCTTGAACAGAGTGCCTGTGTTAATCAGAAACAAATAAACTGTCACTAAATCAATTCCACAGAGCAGGATGTGAGGTAATTTCTCAATACGGAAGATGTGGGTGGAAAAGGAAAAATGCATTCTGCTGGGAATAGGGAAGGATCTTTTTTTTTAATTTAATTTTCTTCAATGGGAAATGATGCTAAGAAATTCCCACTGGAATAAATCAAAGATGATTAGACTAAATGATTTCATTTTAGGTAGGGGAAAAGTGCCTAAAAAGAGAAGACTCGTGGGAATAGTAGCTGGCTGAATATCCATGGAAAAGATTGGAACTGAGATCCACATTATTTAAGGGGAAAAAAGAACCTGTAGAAATACACGGAAACCTTGTTAGAGTTTCATGTCTTGTTGCTCTAGTCAACAAGTAGCAAATCTGCTCAATGAAAATTGAGTTCTGGTTGAGGAAACATTGGTGCATGATCAGGTAAGAGAAGGTAAATTTCCGTAGTGGGAACAAGGTATGGAAGTGTTCAAGGTGCTCAGGAAAGATGTGAAGAACATAAGTAAACTTGTGTAACTGCCTTCCAATAATCTGATAGATTAAAAAGGCAAAGGAAAGCATGGCAAGACAAGAACACATTTGGGCCAAACTAGGGCAAATATTTACCAAGCAGTCACCAGCCGGTAAGAGATGAGACTGCCACTCTCTTTCTTCTGATAAGCAGCACAGACACTATCAGACAACTGGTCCAAAACCAGATCATGAGTGAAGCTCATTTAAATTAAATGGAACAATCAATAAAACTGAGGCTTTATGTCTGAAAGGGCAAATTTTGTTAGCCTAAAAGACCTTGTTAGTAAAATTAGACCAGATTATTCAAGATCTTGAATATGGAAGGCCCTTGTAATTCCTTTAGGTAAAAGAAGCTAAAGACATGTGGAATATGTGGGAGGTGGAGATGAGGCAATGCATGGAAAAGTGGCCAAGCTATTCCATGAAATGGAAGAACTCCTTCCTTCTATAAGAGACATGCAATCACAGGATGAAAGAGAAAAGATAGATCAACAGACAGATGTGTTTTAGAGGTCAAAATACAAAGTAAAGTGAAAATCGTCAACAGCCAAACTGATTTACGATTTGGAAGGGCTATTTAAGCAAAGAGGAAAACAATCTTCATGCAGACGAGACCAAAAAAAAAAAAAACAAAAAAAACCAAAAAAACAAAAAAACAACAAAAAAAGGATAAATAGTGGGAAAGAAGCTGTGATGCCAGAACTGGATTACCAAACTGGAAGCAAAACTAAAAGCACAGTGTACTCAGAGAGAGGTATCAAATAAAGTCCATTCCACAATCTGACAAGAAAGGGAACATGAAATCCCAAAGCTGGTAGGAAGCAGCTCAGACATGATACTGACTGACTGGAGAAGAGCAAATGTATTATCCATTTATAAAAGGGAGACCTATGCAGCTACAAACCCATTAGTTTGACCTCAGTTACTTCAGAAGAAATTTTGAAGGGAAAAGTAATTGAAGACAGGGAGGCAAATGGAAAATGAGATAGCATACAAAAAGGATTTACTAAAGATAGAATGTACAGAGTGAATTTGTTATCACTCTTTAATAAGATAACTGATTTTCTAAACAAAAGATTTGTGATGCATCTTATCTATATCTGTGCTGCTTATGATACAGCATTACATAGGAAACAGGGGATTAGGAGAAGAGTTGTAAAGTGAATAAGAGATTGTCTAATGGATAGATGGCAACAGGTGGCATTGAAAGAAGCAGCATCAAACTGCTGGAAATTTGCTAGCAGGAATTCTCAAAAATCTGTCTTTCAATCAATCTTTTTTTAACATGAAGAGAAGAGGTATGAAATCTATAGTTTCCATTGAGCTAGAAAACAAAGTCCATACAAAAGAGGATAAGTGGCGGTTTTTAATTACATAAAATACAAGTACCAGAATATTTTCTACACACACACAAATAAAATATGGTATTATATTTTTCTGTAATTAAAAAAAAAAATTATGCCATGTAAAGACTGTGGCCTTACCTGAAATTCTGTATGTGGTCTTTGTCACTTGGAATCAAGAAAACATGCAAAAACTGGGATAATTGCAAGAACGTGCAGCTGCAATGGCAGGCAGACTGGAGAGCCACCATTCATGGAGGAGAGTAAAATACTTAGCTGCTTTTGTCTGACTAAGCAAAAAACTGAAAGAGGATATGACTGGTGTCTGTAAATGTATTTCTTACACAGCAGACTGGAAAACAGTCTGAATAAAGCTATAGAA